ATGAAGTACGAAGGAGTTATTTTTTTCTCCCATTTGATACAACATTATAGATGCATAATCTCTTTCGACGATAATCCTTAACTAAATTACATGCCACAACACAACCAACTTATCTAACCATACCAAAAGAGTAATCTAATATAACTCACTACTATCTTAATCGTAGGTTAAATGATAGTTGGCATAATAACATTCAACATAACGAAAAAGCCAATTAATTTCACAAAGCATGTAGTCAGATTACATTAGATAGTTCATTTTTATCCACTTCTTAAAGCAATTTCATCGAGAGCACAGTTAAATAACACACAAGTCCAATAAATCTAAGTAGTAAGAACAATGATTGTTATCATCTATACACATTATCTCCTCCAGAGAAATAATGCATAAATTTGAAAAATATTACTTGGAAAATTACATTATAGAAACGTGTTTGACAGAGTGAAGTTTCAAGCCTAAATATAGTTGTCATGCTGTCTATATATTCAGGGCGATGCAAAACGACTTGGGAGTTTAACCAACAAAACAACGAGAAAGAAATACAATGGCCGTTTTGTGATATTATAAATGCATACTACAGCAGAAAATGACCCAAGGTTTATTGCTTACTTCTATGGACGCCAAAATGAACCACCCCTGACAATAAGGATATGGAAGTTATAGAAAAAAGAAAAAAAAGAATGATCTTTCCATTAACCAATCCCATCAGTTAGAAGAATGGGAAATCAGAAATGAGCATGATGTTCCTAAGAGAAACTACATACTGAAGGAATTACAGATCCTAACTCTAAAACTGTGCACATGAAAATATGTAGATTAAATTGTAGCAATATAGTATTTTCCTATAAAAGAGTTTAAGGAAAAAGTCAATATTCTGACAAATTCCAAAAATTTGCAGAAAGTTCTAAAGATATCCACTATTCAGCATATAAAATTGAAACCTTAACGTACACTGTCCAGGATTTATGACTGCAACAATGAAATCTCAAGCAATAGATATGGAAGCTAAGAAAAATATCAAAATTAAATTCCAATACTTTATCACCAAGCCAAACTTCAAAGCTGGTATCATAGTGAAAAACCTCC